TCCCATTTTGTACTGTAAGAATTATATAACGGAATTTAAATTTGTAGTTTTTTCTAGTAAGTATCGATTTCAAGATTGTTTAAATATTTAAAGAAGTATCTTCCAAGATTAACAATTATATAACTACCCATAATTAATATTAATTAATCAGAAATTCAAAAATTTATCTTTTTAAATTTTATTCCAGATAATATTGTTATTTGAACAACTAGCTTATTATGATGTAATTATCATCGAATAATTGACTTATTAATCAAATAGTTTCAAGATTAGATTTTTGGAATTTTTGATTTGATTTTTGTTTATATGTAATAAAGATTGTTTATTTAATTTAATTATATTAATACGCTTATAGGTGGACCACGAAACTATGAATTCAAGGATGGAAATCAAGTTTTAGTAATTCCAAAATATGATTCCAATCATGATGATGGCCAATACACTTGCAGTGTAGCACAATTTTACTCTTTCGAAACTGTTACTATTAATGTTACCGGATATGGTCCGTTAGATTTGATCGCATAATTTTTGACGATTTTATTTTAAAATTTTCGAACGAAAAAGAATTTGACAATGTTCTGCTAAATTATTGAAATTTTTTTTTTTAAAGTAAATCAAATTTTCTTAAATTTTAAATTAATCATTTTTCTACATCATTATCTTAAAAAATTTTTTTTACAGCACGTCCGAAAATAGTAGTACTTGATGGATCGGAAACAACGTATGGTATCGAAGGTCGTGATTTCGTGATTCGATGCCAAGCTGTCGGCAAACCTAAGCCTTTTTATCAATGGATAAAATATGCTGTTAATTTCTTTCTTTCTCCTTTTTGTTCTTTTTTTATTGTAAAATCGGAATAAAGAGAGAGAGAGAGAGAAGGATAGAAAGGAAGAGAAGACAATAATTTAATTAGAATGAAATTGAAATTGCTTGTTTAAGCTTATATTTTCTCTCATTTGAAATTAATCGCCCTTGTAGGATGGAGATGAGGAAATCATTGTGCTTTCCGAGAAATATGATATAAATGATGGCACTCTTATAATTCGAGATTTAATCCCTGCAGATCGTGGTACATATAGTTGTATTGCTAAAAATGCTCTGGATGAAGCACGACTCGATTTCAACTTAACAGTTTTCAGTTAGTGTTTTTTTTTCTTTTATTTTAATACAATTGAAATTATTCTTATATACTACTTTAGTTTAGATTTTGATGAATTAGCATCTGCAATATGAATATTTTTATTGTTTATATAAACTTGTTGCAATGGAACAAAGATATTTTCGGAAACTTCAGGTAAACCAAGGTTAAAATTGATGAAGAATTTGACAATTACACGTGGTGATACGGTCAAATTGGTATGCGAATTTAGTGGTGATGGATATTTGAAAGCTAAGTGGTTACATCTTGGACAGGAATGGTCAAGTAGATCAATCAATCAAGATGAACGAATTTTAAATTTTAATTCAAGTTCACTCAATAAATATAATGCTGTTGCTGATAACAATTTAAGTACCGGAAATAGTGCTGCTATGGTATGCTCCTTTTTAATTTCAATTTTTCTTTTTTTTTCATTTAATTTCTTCCTGATATTGGCTATCTAATTTATATTTTAAAATATTAATTTTCATGTTCTCCAGCAGCTACTCATTTTCAAGAATAGTATGCCAGAATTTTCAGGATAATCGTATAACGGTTAACGAAGGTAATGGTATTATTATTTTAACATTGACAACTGTTGATGAAGATGATGCTGGTCAGTATCAATGTGTAGCAGAAAATGAGGCTGGAACAGATCAAGGCTCTATATTCTTATCCATTATTCGTAGGTTTTCAAATATGACTTATTTCCGATTTAAATTTGAAGTAATACCAAATATTTGGATAGACTTTGTTAAAGAATTAAACTTTATTTGCAATTCAGATGCTGCACGAATTGTTGATCATAGTGGAACAAAACGTGCCTTAAAGGGTGATGTAGCGATGATTCATTGTGGTGCAAGTGCTGTTCCGGAACCGGTTTGGACATGGACTGGTCCATCCGGTACCATTTATGCGGATGGTTCAAAGTATATCCTCGATACTCGAACTGTTACAACAACTCTCACTGTCAGCGTCTAGTTTTTAATCATATATTAGATCTTATAATGAAATTTTTTTAAATTCAAGAATTAAAATTTTAAAAAACGTAGCTTTTAAATTTTGAACTCGTGATTTTTATTGAACAAATCAAAATATGAAATTTTAGATACGAGATGTCAATCAGCATGACTTTGGTAAGTATATCTGTATGGCTGATAATGGTATTGGTCCACCGGATCACGCTGAACTTCGTTTAATTGAAATTTGTTTGTTTTTATGATTTGTTTCATTGTTTACTTTTTTTTTGAATTCATTTGTTGATTTTTTCCGTTTTTTCTGTGTGATATTATCAATTGTAATCGTGAGATCGATATCTTTCGTATATATTAAATCTCTTTAAATCTTTTGATAACGATTGTTTATGAAATGATAATATTTAGAATTCATTTATCAGTTAATCAAATTGAAACTTAAGAAACTGGAAGAATTGATCTGCTGTTTCCAATCGTTGAGTTATTCAATTTCAGTACCTCCACTAACACCAACTAATCTAAATTGTCATGAGCATGGTTATCCAAATTTTGGTATATGCACTCTTGGTGAATTGAAAAATTCACCGCCTGGAAAATTGCCATCAAATATTACATTTTATATCGTACCTGAAGATAAGGTTTGTTCTAATCCAAAAATTTAACCTGTTACAATTAAGAGATAGATGTCAGCTATTTCTTCCTTATAGTTTTTTCAATTTATAACTTTAAACTTTATCCTTATTCATTGGAAATTCCGCCTAAAATTCAATATGTTGCATGAACACTTGCCCTTTTATGCATTATCTGTCAATTATATCTGAAGAAATTTGCTGTACCAAACTTTTGGTTAATCGTTCCGATTTGATATTAGACAAATATGTTGCAGGCAAGTAGAGACAATGATGAAATGAATGCCATGAATGTAACATTTGAATTTGATGGTGAGCATGAATTTAAATTTCATCATTTGAAACCGAAAAGCAGGTACAAAATTCAAGCTCAAGCGATCAACGAAGCTGGTGTGTCAGAAATGAGTGCTCCCGATATCATGGAAACTACGAGTCCATGGGGTACAATCGTACTAAATTTTGCGAAATTTAAATTCAAAATTTTCTGTAAAGCACCACCAATGCAATAAGAAAGAGAAAGTAAAATAATTCTTGGAACTACAAGAAATCGGTAAATTAAAAAAGGTAGTAAAGAAGTCGTTAGATTTTAAAGTTGTTTTATTCGTGTCTTAAAAAAATTGTCTTTCTCTGCTCTAGCTTTACCTTATGCTTTGTTTTGTTTGTTTGTATCAGTAGTTCGATATAGCAAAAAAAATTTTTCTTTCTTTCCTTATATCGTGAAAATTTTTTACTCTCCATGTGCAGAAAAACGATAATAGGACAGAATTAGCTAAGATGTTGGGATGAATATTTTCTAGATATTTAGTAATTATCGGAATGATTTTGTAGTACCAGATGCACCGACCGATATACATTACGATTGTTCGAAAGTTTGTAAAATGGTTTGGAATGAGCCAAATAATCGTGGTTCACCAATTATTGCATATAAATTAATTCTGAAAGAAATTGCACATGCTGAAATGGTATACTGTAAAATTTTCCATTGATAAGTCATAATTACTTATATACTTGCTTATTCAAGTGTTGAATTCATTATTTGATTCTACTAATTTATGCGTATTATAATTATTCAACTGAACATTTGTTTGTTTCATCATTTAGTCTAAGCATTTTCCATTTATATGTTATCGAATAAAGCAAAAAATTAATGAATTACCGAATTTTTTCCAAATAATAAAAGTATTTTTTACAGAAACATTACGATGCAGAAAATTTTGAGCTCGATTTAAGTGCCGATGATCTCAAAGTGGATTTATCATTCCTGAAACCACTTACAACCTATGAGGTAAAACTAATTGCTGTAAATGATGTTGGTAATAGTAATGCTCATTCATTTGTGCTCAATACATCCGGTTAGTTATTCTACTGTTTTTATAAATTTTTCTTAATGGAAATCAATTTAAAATGTTTTTCCGTAAATCATTTCATGTCAAAGTTTTATGAGCGAAAACGTGATGAAATATTTTGGTGCCACTTTTTTTCACCTTCATAATGCTATTTACAATTTGAATGAAGTGTAAGTGAATTGAAAAGAAAATAATTGAAATTAAAATCAACAAGTAAATGATAATTAAAATGATTCTTATTTTTGCAATAATCCTTTCAGTGATAATTTACAGAATATGTGGAAGGTGGACGCCATGATGATGATTCCAGTTGGTTGGCAATTTTGTTGTTAATCATTTTATTGCTTATATTGTTAGCTCTTATCATAGATGCTATGTGCTGTTTAAAGCGACATCGTGGATTTTTAGCACTAATTTGTTCAGCATTCTTTGAATCTGATCAAAAAGAGCATGGCGATAAATCAAAAAACGGATTACAAAATGATAAGTTGGTTTTTTTTAAAAAATTTGAAGTATAAAATTGTCCAATAGTTTTAAGGTTGTAATACGATTTATGAACATCTCCATTAAGTTACATGAATTGTCTACCGGCCGAATGTTATCATTGAACGGATTACAGCAACTGGTTCAACCTAATAAGATGTTTTGCACTTTATATGTTCTAAAATTTTCGAAATTTTTGAGTGGAAGATTATTTTTATCATCAGCGATTTATTCTTTTTTTCGTTTTTCTTTTTTTAATGAGAATTTTTTTTAGAACTGAAAATAATCACTTACTGATAGATGAACGAAATAGTTCACCGATTGCTATGAAGTATGTTCATTGAATTTACGCGAAAAAAGGAGATATTCACAATCTATTTTCTTTTTTGACTTCATCATTTAACGTCAAGTTTCTAAATTTCTCTTTTATTCGTATGTACAAGAATCAAAATTCAATGTTTTAATTTTTCAACAACATTTTATAAATTTTACCGCAAATGTGCTGCAATTTCTTTCAAGGTTTTCCATTGTTTCAGTCATGGAGAAAAGTATAGGAATGGCCCGCATTCAACACCCGTATAAAATACAAACGTGACGTCGTTTAATTTATCACAGCAAAGCATTTAAATTTTACATTTTTGGAGCAGAATTTGTGTTTTCAATTTATCGACTGCTTCTTATTCATTCATTGACTGCAAAACATTTTTTAACTTGATACAACATCGAAATTTAAGACAAAAAGACCAGCTTCCATCCTAAATTCCTATGTTTTGAAATTTACTGAAATCCAAACGTTGTTTTTTTTGATTTCTTCTACGAATATGTTGAAATTTTGCAAGTGCGCAGAAAAGAAAGAATTTTTAATGAAGAAATGATGTCGTTTCTTCATTTCAGTGAGATTGGACAAATCACTTCGAATTTCATTCTCTCAAGAGAAAAAGTAATGAGTTTTGGACGAAGAGAAAAAAAGTAATGCGTTTTAACATACTGTAGTCAGTGATATTCGAGTTGTGCCTTATTAAAATGTTTTTTTCTTGTTTTTTGTCGAAATTTGTTTCCTTCCTAATATTTCAGTAATTTATTGACAAAGTAATGTTCCTGAAAGTGAATTTGTTTTATGTATTGGATGTGTTAATCGATGAAGAGCTTTTGTAAACACTGTGGTTAACCTCAAACGATTTGATTCCAAATTTTAATGTGGGAAATAATTTGTTTATCCCTCTAAGTACCTCTAGAGCTCACTTCATTGCCATTTTCAATCGTTTCATACCATTGTAATCACTCATACAAAAGCGCTTCGTGTTAACCCACAAGCGCAACATTTTAAATGTAAGCAATAATAACTGTAGGATTTCGTGTTTAATAATTTGTCGGGTCCAATACATTACGCCATCTCATTCATTTTGTTAGATTTCATCCATATATTAATGATGTAATAAAGCACCATAGAAACGAAATTGCACCATCCACTTCAAAGATACCGTATCCAGGACAGACTGCCGACCATTCATATGGTCATTGCTATCTCAGCAGAGTGGAAACAACACAGACAGGCAAGAATTTGAATCATACGAGCTGCACAGCTCGAAAGTACCGGTGGGCTTCTGTTGCCATTCCAGGCTTATTTCAAATTATTGCAAACAGATCAAGCACTTCAACCTTATTTGTGAACCTGCCAGCACAATACCAATGATTCTTATGTAGACACTTCGCCAAAACGAATTCTTTATTCTACTTGCATAAAACAGAAGGTTGGATACAAAAGCTATAAATGTGATTCATACATTTTTGGCCTTAAAGATCATTGCTGGACGGCCTAAAATAAGATCATATCAAGTCATATCAGGGTTAATTTCTTCTGAAGTTGACTGCATATCAGCTGATTGCTTGGGAAGGAGCGCAGAATTGATATTAGGTAGCACACCACCTTCAGAGATCGTTACATCGGAGAGAAGCGCGCTCAGTTCATCGTCGTTCCGTATGGCCAATTGCAAGTGTCGAGGGGTGATCCGGTTCTTCTGGTTAGCACGTGCCTCGTCTCCAGCCAATTGCAAAACTTCGGTAGAAAGGTATTCAAGCACTGCTGTCAGATAGATAGGAGCACTGGCACCAATTCGATCAGCATAGTTACCTTTGCGAAGCAAACGATGAATACGACCGATGGGAAAGTACAAATCGGCTCGAACGGATCTTGATTGACCTTTTTTAGGCGTCTTCTTCTTTCCTGGCATTTGCACCTGACAACTGAAGTGAAAATGAACCCGACCGGACACAAACAAACGACTTGGAGAAATGATAAATAACTAGCAACAACCGGTACTTATTAAGGAGAGTGAATGAAAATTAAAAAATTTGAATAACTATATGAAGAACGGATTATCACTTTGAAATATACCTATTGCAGTATATCACTTCAGCATGCACATTTTCTTTCAGAATTAATTAATATGCAATAACTGATGAATTAAAGTTATTTGGCTCATTTCAAACGATTTAACGAACAAATCGTAATGTATAGCGGTCGTTTTACCCGATATTGCAAAATCAGCCCCAACAATCACTAGATATCCGGAAAACATTCATCCGAAAATCTCTTATTCTATCCTGTTATCATTTTTCTACGCATTAAAATAAAATTTTTACGACAAAGGAAAAGAAAAATTTTTTAATCTAACCTTGCAAACAGCGCAATATTCAGAGGTTTAATAATAGCGCTAAGTCCAATTCCGCCTAGCGCATATAGTTGCCCATTCTCTTATTCCTTTACTTTTTTCTTGCATACCTTTTTGTCGTACGTGACAAATCCCCAGCTGAAATCATCGTTATTTATCCCACTTGTTGCATTCGGAACATTGGTCC